TGTTGTGTAGGGGCCTCCAGAGTACTCGGCAAAAAAAGTGCGGGAAGAGTCCAGCCTGAAGCCCACTGAGTCAAAATGCCTGGTACAAGCACGAGGAACAACGCTAGAAGCTGTCTCTTGGCCCCAAACAATGCCATGTTTCCCTTGGAAAGTTGCTTGTCCAAGGCAATTGGAACCTGCTCTTGGGGTCCTCCGGCATTGCCGCTGCTTGTGGCAAGCTTGGATGTAGGGCCTCCCCCCTCATCGACCTCAGCCTCTTTCCTGAGTACGACATCACCCGCCCTCTCGTCAAGGAATTGATCCTACGCCTGCTGTGGACGGGCAAGGCGCGCTCTCTTGTGATTGCGCTTCCACTGCCAGCAGGCTGCGCCGAGGTAGCTAAGGCTTGGGGACTCAGGGCGGTCTCAAGCTTGGGTTGCTGCATCGCCCTCTTCAAGGTTGCCGTGAGCGCGCAGCCTGCAGTCCTCCTCTTTCCAAGGTCAGGCGAGGTGCTTTCTGCCCCGCAAGCCAGTGGGCTCCTCTCCGTCCCGGGGTGCCCCGCCGTTGACAAGCGTGAGCCTGCATCTCACCCAGGTGTCTTTTACGTGCCGGGGCAGGTCCCTCGTGAGTTCTTCTCCTCTAGAGGTATCCCTGGCATGGCAGCTTTGAGCGTTGCAAAGCTTATTGGAAGTGCTTCCTCCGGCACGAACCGACTGAAGCCCGGTGCTCCCCAGGCCTTGAAAGCGTCGCTGTCAACGAAGAGCCGAAGCATATCAATGGTTGTGAGACCGATGCAGCTGTTACCGACCTCAGGCAGCTAGCCCGGGAGAAGAAGGTCTGCTGCTCAGTCCACATACTGGACTCGTTTTGCGCGCAAGGGGCACTCTCCAAGGGGGGGTCGTCGGCTGTCAAGCCTCTTCCCTGCAAAGGTCTCTGGCACTACGAAGCTATAAAGGTGTCCGATGACCCTACGAGCAGGGTCGATCTTCGCGAGCCTCACCGTGCCCTTGCCTTGTTGAGCCCCTTGCTGGCCTCTTCCTTCCGGGGCCGTCTTCCTACACCCCGCTGAGGCTTTTGCCGCTGCTGTTTCTAGAGAAGGCCAAGCCGTTCTACGCCGAGGTGATTGCCGACTGGCTTGCCTGCTATGGCAGGGATCTTTATGGTTCAAGCCGTGGTCCTAGTAGCCATCCTTGCTGCCTGTCTCTCTTGCGGATGGGTAGCTGAAGCAGGCTGCTTTGCCATGGCTTTTGGTGGTCTGATGAGGAATAGCGAGGTGCTGCAGACCACCAGAGGCTCCCTCGTGTTGCCCGAGGACATGCTGTACTGCCAACACTTCGCCCTTGTGAGTATAAAGGAGCCAAAGACGCGGAACCGGGGTCCGCGACACCAGTCTGCGAAGATTGAGGCCCAGGACCTCGTGAGGATCATAGGCGTGGCTTTCAGCAGCTGTCTGTCGCCTCAGACATTGCGGAAACGCCTTGATCAGGTGCTCCGCAGAGTTGGAGCTGTCCCAGGACGGAAGGCGCCAGGCCCATAGACCTCGCATCGTTCAGAGCTGGGGGAGCACCTTTTTGCTCCAGGAGACGGAGGACTCTGAGTTGGTCAGGAGGAGAGGCAGGTGGGCCTCCGCGAAAATAATGGAGATATACCTTCAGGAGGTCTCTGCAGCCATTTACCTGCCCTCGCTGCCACGGGAGCAGAAACAACGGGTTGCTCGATCGCCTCCGGCTTCGACGGCATCTTCCAGCAAGCGTGGGCTTGCACATGCCAAGGCATCGAAAGGAACATTTGGTATCGCCTGTGCCCTGAAAATATTCTGCACAGGACGGGAAACTGTGGGAAATGCGGGACAAAGCGCTTCTTCCTTCGGGCTGATGAAACTCCCAGCCTCGACGTTTGTAGACTCCGCCAGGTGCAAAAGGAGTGCCGAGTCACTGACAGTAGTGACGAGACACGAACGCTTCTTGGCGCGGTTCAAGTGACCCGCCCACCCTCCCGCGACATAGCGCTTTTTCCTTCGGGCTGATGAAACTCCCAGCCTCGGCGTGTTGATAAGCTCCACGTTGGAGTTAAGGCTTCCCCTAGGGTGTGGTGCGCATCTTCGAAAAACATCGTGTTATTGCCGCAATTCTGCAGTTCCAGGCTGGTCCCAGGCTTGCTTAACAGTGAAAAATGTGGCGTTTTACACTAGCACGGAGGTCATTCACAACGTTCTTCAGACGCGTTGTTGCTGATTTTTCTATTGTTTTTGGCGCCAAGAAAAGCACATGCCGTTCTTTCGACGTACGCTGCGATTTTCAATGTGTCAGGCAAATTCCAGCCCGATATGGCGTCATCCAAATTCGCACATTCCCAACTCCCACATCCACATCGTTGTTCGTTGGGGTTGGAAAGAGGGTGGATCGTTACAAAAGTCCTTACAGGATCCCTTGCATGTAGTAGTGATTCAACCCAATTGTATGGAGTCGCTTTCGGACACCAAGCAAATGCCAGGAACGGCTTCCACTCGACATTTGTCGACTCAGGGATGTTTCATTCACCAATAAATCCAACTTGAAACGTACAATGTGACAAGGCCTTTGGAGTTGGTTTTTGGAAGGTGAGGAGTGATCTGAAAGACGAACATTGCCTTGTCGAAGAAGTTTCGCATGTCCTGCCGCGATTGTCGGCATAGAATGGTATATCTTCGCATGTTGCAGCAAATTTAAAGCAAAGCGAAGGCAGCTTTGGCTCAACAACTGATTTGCTTCTAAGCTGGCCATCACCTGGCGATGAACAACAGCCAGTTCTTGCATGACAGAACCGGCCGCATTCCGCCCACAGATGCTCAAAGCACTGAGTATGGCAAAGCGTCTGGCGTACCTTCTCGCGACTTCTGGGTTGTCTTTGCAGCATGTTTTCTCGGTTTGATTTGCTGCTTCCTGCTGATCGTGGCGGTTTCTGAGCACAATACTCGGCGTTGGAGAAAAAGATTCGCCAAAGACGAGGAGCTGGCTTTGGTAAAACCTTCCAACAACTTGAGCTGTGCGCAACGAGAAGTGTTTCGCGGATCTCGCTATGGCATCAGCTTTGCGTTTCACGTGGACTTGGCGTGGCGTGGTGCGCTGGTTACTTTCTTTTGTGCGGCCACTTATGATGCCAACTGCTTGAACTGGTGGCAGCGGCAGGGATGGTCAATGAGTTATGTTGTGGTTATAGTTGTCTTTACATTGTACAAGGACTTGGGGAGCACAGTCGTTCTGGCTTGGACAGGCTTCTATGGTACACTGCTCCCAGTGCTGAACTGCTGGTTGATTTTTTACCTTTTCCCTGACGGTGTCAAAACAGCCGAGACTTGGACAAAGGTTTTTGGCTGGGTGGATTTCCTTGTGTTTGTCCTGCTGATGTTCGGCCTGGGTTTCGCAACGAACGGCAAGATGTATGCGTTGTCTTGGCAGGCCTACTTCTCCATGTGCTTCCTGAACCCCTTTGACCAGACTTTGTTCAGCCAAGGCCTCGACGTCCAGCTTCATGCTGCAGAAACGAGTGCCTTGACAGGAACTATCATAGGATGCATCTTCGCACTGTTGGTTGCGGCGTGGATGAACATCTCTGCCTTACGGAAGCTTGGTTGAGAATAGCGAACTTAGTGCATTCAAGCTACCATAGTGAGGCAACCGTAAACCCTAAACCCTTAACCCCAAACCCCTCACCCCTAAAC